AAAAAAAATGTTAGACAAAAAGAAAAAGCTGGCAGGTGCAGGTAGCGCACACCTGTAATCCTACCTACTCAGGAGGCTGAGATCTGAGGACCAGGTTTCAAAGCCAGCCCAGGCAAGAAAGTCCATGAGACTCTTACCTCCAACTAACCATCAAAAAACTGGAAGCAGAGCTACGGTCCAAGTGGTAGAGTGCCAGCCTTGGGGAAAAAAGCTTAGCGACAACATCCAAGTCTTAGAATCAGTGGAGAAACACTTACACACACATATGAAGAAAAGAAAAGCAAAATACAAAACAAGACAAAAAATAGAACATGCCAAAGGGTTATTTTTTTTTCTATTAATTACCTTTCTTCCCTCCCTCCCTCCCCCTTTCTTTTGATGTGGTACCAGGAGCTGAACCAAGGCCTCATGTATGCTAGGCAAGCAATCTACCATTAAGTCACATTCCCAGCCCAGGGCTATGCTTCTTTAAGGCAATTAATTATTTCTCTCTCTCTCTGTCTCTGGTTGGTTGTGGGGCTTGAACTCTGGGCCTGGGCAATGTTCCTCAGCTCTTTAGCTCAAGGTGAGCACTCTACCACTTGAGCCACAGTGCCACTTCTGGTTTTCTGGTGGTTGATGGGAGATAAGAGTCTCACAGATTTTCCTACCTGGGCTGGCTTTCAACCATAATCCTCAGATCTCAGCCTCCTGAGTAGCTAGGATTACAGGCATGAGCCGCCAGTGCCCAGCTATTATTTCTCTTAGGGTGCTGGGGAGAGAACTCAGAGCTTTGTGCATGCCAGACAAGTGTCCTGATCCCTCCCAGTCCCAAGACCAAGCTCCTTAAGTCATCCTGACTGATCTAGGATGCTTTGGGCATTGGTGTGAGATTAAGCAAGGGTACTTCAAGACTCTTGTCTTTTTCTATACCAACACTGAGGGTTGAGGTGACTACCCGCATGGAACACACTTCTAACCATCACATACAACAGCTAGCACCCCCAAATCACAATCAAACAAACAAAAGCACAGCCATGCTGGAATGGGAAGGAAGGGTTCAGGACTGTGGGATCCTGATGAGCTAGAGCCATGGTCTTTTCCTGATTGGAAGGAATGGAGAAAGGGTGGAGGTTGGTGTGTCCCACCATAGGCCACGCCCACCCCACCATAGGCCACACCCACCCACCATAGGCCACACCCACCCATCACAGGCCACACCCACCCATCACAGGCCGCACCTACCCATCACAGGCCGCACCCACCCATCACAGGCCACACCCACCCATCACAGGCCACACCACCTGCTGCACCAGGAGGTCCCCAATCTTCTGGATGACATAGTTGTGCTCGCTGCCCTCCTCCAGGGCCTCCAGGCGGCGCTCCTTGAGCCGGGCCAGGAAGTGGCCATGCATGTCCAGCAGGTCATCAGCGCAGGGGAAGAGGCGGCTGATGGCCCGGCTGCTGAACTGCAGCTCTTCCTGCAGGGCCCGGGAATACACTCTCAGCATGATTTTCAGCGTCCGCACGTGGTGTGCCTCTGTCTGCATCAGCTCTGTCGGGACACATGGAGATGCTCAGCAGGACTTACTCAAGCTAGCCCCAAGGGCCCACTGGGCCTTTGTTACCTGTCTGTTCTGGCCTCTGCAAGCTCTCCACCTAAGGCATTGCCTTTGTAGGGTGATGAAGTTTCTTCCTTTTTTTTTTTTTTTTAAATTAGTTAACAAATGTTTTTATTTTTGTGCCAGTACTGGGTTTGAACTCATGGCTTGGGTGCTGTCCCTGAGATTTTTTTTTTTTACTGTTTGATTAGCTTCTTTTTTTTTATTTTATTTT